TGGAGAAGAACCTGGGAAGTTGGGCTTCATCAGAGAGGCAAGGAGATCCAGATGTGGATGGCCAAACCTGACTGAGATGTCCCTGAACAGTGCCGGGTTCAGTCGCCACTCTAAGTGGTCTACTGTGACCCTGCTCAGGGAATCTGCTTGCCAATTCGCTTCCCCCAATATATGTTCCGCCCTGATGGAACCCAGAGTGGACTCTGCCCATAGACCCAGCTCCAAGGCCTCCTGCATGAGTGACCAGGACTGGGTCCCTCACTGTTTGTTGACGTGAGCCTTGGCTGCCACATTGTCTGTCAGAACCAGGACGTGCTGTCCCGGCACTAGGGAGGAAAAACCGACGGAGAGCTAAGCGAATGGCTCTGAGTTTGAGCCAATTTATGTTGTGGACTAGATCCGATCGGGACCACTGTCCCTGAGCAAGATGAGTCTGAAGATGGGCATCCCAACTGAACAGACTGGCGTCTGTAGTCAAGGTGAGCCTGAGAGGCTCCCTGAAATTGGTCCCCTTGGACGTTGCGGATGACGCCCACCAAAGGAGAGACAACAGAGTGTGCTGAGGAATCCTGACCTTTCCAGTGGACGAACTGAGGTTCTGCTTCTGGAAAGGAAGGAGGAACCCATAGGAGACTTCTGGAGTGAAGTCTGGCCCACAGAACGAACCCCATGCAAGAAACCATCTTTCCCAAGAGCTGAGACAGCTAGACCAAAGGCACTGTTCTCTCTCTCCGAACCTGGTGCACGAGCTTCCGGATGTTGATCCGACGCTCCTGAGAAAGATAAACCCTGCAAAGGTCCAAATCTATAATCGCCCCTAGATGGAGGACGCGCTTTGTGGGGATCGTGTGGCTCTTTTTGAAGTTCACGGAGAACCGGTGGGCCTGAAGGATATGAATCGTGATTTCCAGCTCTGACAGAGCTGACTGGAAGGAACTGGATTGTACTAAGATATTGTCCAGGTAACATTGTACGCGCACCGGCATCATCCTGAGGTGGGCCGCCAATACTGCCAGAAACTTTAGTGAAGACCCTTGAAGCTGAAGATAGACCAAAGGGAAAAGCCCTGTATTGGTAATGCCGGCGCGCATAATAAACCCGAAGGAACCTGCAATGGTCCGGAAGTATCAGAATGTGCCGATATGCCTCTGTCAGGTCTGTGGAGGAAAGAAAGTCCCCTTTCCTGATGCTGGCCAGGATGGACTTCAGGGACTTCTGTGTGTCACGAAATGGTTTAGACCCTTTAAGTCCAGTATCGCCCTCCATCCCCCTGAGGTTATGGGGACCACGAACAGGATGGAGGAAAACTCCTCTCCTTCCTGTTCCCGTGGTACGGGCTCTTTTGCCCTGATTTTTACCAAGTGGGAGATGGTCGTGGCTACTAATTTTGCTTTGGTTGTGTTTTGTGATATTGGGCACTGGATGAAGCGATCTGGAGGAGGTGAATAAAACTCTAAGGTGAGCCCGTGTTTTGTGGTCTCCTTGACCCAAGAGTCGTTGGTAACCTCCCAAATGTTGCTGAACAGTGCCAAGCGACCCCCTATGGGAGAGTCCTCCATGGCGTCACTTGGACCGCCTATAGGGACGGCCCCCAGAGCCCCTGAAGGGACGCCTAGACTGGAACTGGCCCTTGGCTGCAATGTTCTGGCGGTCCTGTTGGCGATCCTGTCTGGGGAGAAAAGATCACGAGCCTCTGGGCCAATCCAAGAACTGCCTGGTCTGAAAGGGCTGCCTCCACTCCCAGGAACCACCGGGACGGAAAGCCTGCCTACTAAAACTCCTGCTGGGGCCGCCTATCCAACCTTTTGGACGGGTGTGCCAGGACCTTACATTGTCCTTGCCCTCAATTATGAGTGGTTGAAGGATTGGACCGAATAGGTATGTACCACTGTACTTGGATGTCGACAGACACCACTTTGACTTTAAGTCAGTCCGCCACTGTTTCAGCCACAGAAGTCTGCAAGAAACAACAGTAGCTGCAATGGATCTTGCAGAATACCTGGCCGAATGAAGAGAGGCGTCTGCAATGTACTCTGACGCTGCCACTAGTTTCCCTAGTGTCTGATGTGTCCAAACCTGACCAGGAGGAACGAGTGCCTGAAGTTCGCAGAGCCACATCATTGGAGCTCCTGCAAAAAAGGAAGATGAAGTCACAGCCCTGATCGCCCAGGCCGAGGATTGGTGAGATCGACAAAGAGAGAACTCAAACTTCTTGTCCTCCGCCTTCAGGGCCTCAGCCATATCCCCTGGAATAGCAGAGGTGGAAAACAAAGAAGTTAAAAGAGTGTCCACAGAAGGCCCTTCTATAATAGAAGCGAATGAGGAGGAAACATTGAACAGTTTCTTCTTCTCCTCCACGACCTTGTCTGCAAACAAATGGTTAGATTCCTGGATAGTGGAGGTGGAAGGTTTGTCCCCCTGTGCCAAAGTGAGGTTGGCCGTGGGACAGGCCTGATAAGTAGAGATCTGAAAGAGATGGATCGAAAAGACCCAAAGTTGTCACTTTGGGTCTTTTCAGTCGCTGCCTCCTCATCCTCAGACATAGGCATGTCGACTATCTCTAGGTCCACTGACCCCTCTTCTCCTAACTGGGAGGAAGTCTCAGAAACGCCAAAACCAGGGACTGTGGCATGTCCCACTTGAGAAGGTGGTATGAATGGAAGCAATGGAGTTTGCAAAGGTGCTTGACTCCTATAGGAGGACATAAACTGAGTAAATTCATTTTGCATGAATGCATGAAATTGTGCTGACCACACATTCTGTTGATCTCTAAAACTGGCCCCAGCCTCAGTTGAGGCATATGTGGCTTTTGTGTAGGTGAGGATAATGAGTGATGGGGACCAACCTGTTCAGTTTCCCCCTGAGGAGACCATGCCAGGGGGCATCCTGGGAAGGCGCAAATGGGGGCTCAAATGGAGAAGTGTCCAACGGAACAGGGGGAACCACTTCAGCTTCACTGGACCTGAGCCTTTGGGCTTTGGAGAATTCCCTCTCCAGCGCCTGATGTCTCCTCGTGGCCTCTCGCCCGGCTGCCTTTGGGTCTGTTTGGTGAATAATTATTTCGTCTTGGCGGTTTTTCTCCCCCCCCCCCGCGTCCAAATCAGTTGATCTGCTATTTGTTTGTGCGGGGGAAATACCAGAGCCCTGGTATGCCTGGGGCGACAAACTGTCTGCCATGTAGGCTGGATAATCCAGGTAGGAGATATCCAGAAGTGGAGGGAACCCAAACACGTAGACCAAGTTGTCAGAGATGGAAAACCGATCCTCGCTCCGAACAACAGCAATGACAAAGGACAGCCAGACAGTTCCATAGAACTGCCTGTCTAGGCCTTGTGGCAAAGTACCACAGACTAATTGGAACAGGTGGTTCTGAAATAAAATTCCCCTTCGCTCCACACACACCAGATAAGTACCAGGATCTGGTAGATGGGAGCGAGAAGAATCCACCAGCGAGCAGCTTGTAGCCTGCCCTATAGGAGCCTATTAGGCTCTTGAGGCCCATAGGCCTGAGTAAAATCCAGGAGGTTGTAATGCCTCTGATTACTGTCCAATTCTTGCCAATTTAGATCCAAAAACCAAGTCAGAATAAAACTAATAAATTTAGAACTCCTTTTAAGTAATTTGAAATGCAGTTAGGAATAAACCAAAATTAATTAACTAGTCTAACTGAGGAGCCAAAGTAATTGCGTCCTACTGAGTGAGACTAAGTCAAAAAACTGGAGGACACTCCCAGAGGGAGGCGTGGCTAAAGTTCTGACTTAGTCTATTCTGAGCAGGAAGGCTGATATTACCACCGGTGGATTCTACATTTATCATGCTGGAGAATGTTTCTCATCAATGGCAGAAAGATATTTTTTCAGCCAATCTGTCCACAGAAGTTTGTTCCAGAAGTCTGCTAAATCATCAAAGTAGTCTTTAGCAAATTTGAGATGGGTAGCAATCTGGAGAGCAGTAGTTTCTTCATTGGTACCTTACCTATCCTATTTTGTGTATTTGAAGCTGAGCGCTCACTTGTTGAGAGTTGTTTTTAAAAATAATATGGGGCTATTACCCTTTGTAATTACCCTGTAGTCCTTTACTTTTCCTCCTCAATCTTTTTTAAACATCTATTACAGAAAAATAAAAAGAGCCTACAAAAGGATTGGGTATCAGCTGTTCTTGTTCCCTTGTTTCCCCTCAATTTTTTAAAAAACCCCTTAGTCCTAAATTTCTTGTCTTTACTTTTGGGGTTGTTTCACAGCATTTCCTCTGCTTCTGATTTCCACTTTTTACTTTTCCTGAGCTATGCTCCCTCACTGTTAAAGTCTGAAATTTCTCACTCTACCATCCCCACTTCCTTTTCCTCCAATTCTTTATTTTTTCTTTCAGATTCTCTCTTTCCTCTCCCTGGTTCCCAGGTACTAATTTCTGCAACATCCTCCTCCTTCCCAACCAGTCTTTCCTGCTATTTATTTATTTTATTTATTACATTTGTTTTTATAGTTCTCTGCTGCTTCTGTCTGTGTCCAATTCAACCTTTTTTAAAAAAAAGTGCTGCAATTTTTAAATTGTTATTAAAATATTTAATAGCATTTTAAAGTAAATAAATACATATGGGTCTCAGTATTACCCATTTGATATGGCTTTTTTATCACAAAAAATGTTCTCACATGAGTTCTTTGGTGTATGAATTGTAGATTTCATAATTTCTATGAACCCATGAGACTTTTGATTATTAGGCACATATTCACCAGGATGCACATATTATTTAAATAAAATCTGCAAATGCATGTGAAAATGAATGTGCACATAATAAGTGCACATAAATTACATCCATGACAATTTTGCTGAAATTCTGTATAAATGGGTATTATATGATTTTATTTCTGTATCTCCCATGCAGTAACTTTATATAGCAAGAATATTTTTTATTAAATATGTTCACCTTTTAAGATGAGACATGATGCTATACTTCCTATAGTTTGTATTGTTTTCTAATAAATAATTTTTTTCTATTTCAGCATTATCTGCATACCAGAGGTACTACAGTTTACAATCTGACTACTGGAAGGTCTGTATAGATTTTAATTGTCAGCAATTAGTATGTTTTTGTTATTTTACAGAGGACTATTTAATCTATTACTTCCATAGTAATTATTTTTAATTATTATTTACACTGATATTTATCATAGCTAAAATTTCCATATTAAGAAGATTGTGACATCACTACTAGATTCCAGTTTTGTTCAGCATCCTGTTTCTCACTCAAACCCTTGAGTGTACAGGGAGTCCTCGACTTACAACAGTTCGCTTCATGACTGTTCGAAGTGACAGCGGCACTGAAAATATATGACTTATGACCATTTTTCACTCTTACAACCGTTGCAGCATCCCCATGGTCATGTGATTTACATCCAGATGCTTGACAAGTGACTCATTTATAATGGTTGCAGTTCCTGGAGTCATGTGATCCTCTTTTGAAATCTTCTGACAAGCAAAGTCACTTTACAGCCATGTTACTAATTTAACAACTACAATGATTCACTTAACAAATATGGCAAGAAAAGTCATAAAATGGGGCAAACTCACTTAATAAACGTCTCAGCAACAGAAATTTTGGGCTCAGTTGTGGTGTAAGTTGAGGACTACTTGTATTAGTCTTTTCCTGCAACCTAGAACTAAGGAGAAACTTTCTGACAGTGAGAACAATTAATCAGTGGAACAACCTGCCTCCAGGAGCAGTAAATGCTCCAACACTGGAAGTTTTTAAGAAGAGACTGGACAGCCACTTGTCCAAAATGGTGTAGGGTTTCCTGCCCGAGCAGGGGGTTGGACTAGATGACCTCCAAGGTCCCTTCCAACTTTACTACTACTACTACTACTACTACTACTACTACTACTATTATTATTATTATTATTATTATTATAATGCTGTATTTGAACCCAAAAGCAGTTGCATGTTCATTGCTAGTTTACTTTTCTATGAATTTGTCTTAACAGTTTCAAGTTTCCTAAGTCATCAGTATTGTCAAATTGTGGAGATGAATGTCTTAGTTTAGCTAGATATGATATTGATAGTGTTCATCAATTCAATTTTATTGGAAAACTTTGGGTTTCAGAATTACAAAAGATTAGGAACACTTAATTCTATTGTGTAGCAATCAGAATTTAGAAAAGTTGGATTACTGTAGGACAAGTGTTCTATTGATCACTAATGCAGAATTCAGCAACAACTGTTACATAATAACAGAATATGTTCATAAAGGTAACTATCAAAACTTCAAGATTATTTTCAGATTAATCAGGACAAGATTAGAATTCCTAGAATACTTTATTAACCAAGTGTTATTCGATACACACAGAATTTGTCTCCAGTGCAAAAGTTCTCAGTGTACATCTAAAGCAGTAATAATAATCATAATAATGATACCAGTAAGAGGGGGTAGTAAAGAATATGGGAAAGATAATAATACTACAGCCATACAACATGGGTAAATATACGTAGACATGACAGTACTGTTGAGTATTAGGTGTTCAGCAGAGTGATAGCATGAAGGAAAAAACTGTCCCTGTATCTAGTTGTTTTGGCATGCAGTGCCCTATAGTGGCATCCCAAGGGGAGAAATTGTGAAACAGTTATGTCCAGGGTGTATAGGTGTGTAGATATTTTCTATATATGTTATTCGGATGTCATACCCTCTCTCCTATTTCCTAGCTCTTTTTGCTATTTTAAGATCTATTTTTGTTATTTGGGGGTTGTTTATGAACTATTTGTAAACTGCTTTTCTTTTTATCTGAAAATTTTGCTTTTTCTCTGATGATTGGAATTTAGAAATTTAGATACTTTATCAACAAGTTAATAAGCAATGATCCACTGCAGATCCCTAGATATCCATAGGATAACTGTATGATTCACTTTTGCAGATAAATGTATTTATGATATTAAGAATTTGGTTGTTTTTTTGCTATTATATGAACATTTGCACTTGTTTCTTTGATTTAGCTCTGTACACTCTTGATATGGGGAGTGACACCACTTCCAATGTCCAATATCTTCCATTCTGTATTATTGATATCCAGAGAGAACTGCATCATACTGATTCTCTTTTCCAATAGGTTCCAATATTACCATCCAACAAGTTCCCTCACACACGTCAACTTATCTCCCATTGTTTGTTCTGTTCTTTTTACATATTATATTTGTATTCTGTTGCTCATTGTGTTTGGTTTTTTGGGTTCAGTTCTAAAATGTTTAAAGACAATATCCTTTTGCCCTTGGATTTATCTACAGAACTTTCCTCCATCATGTTCTGATTCTGCTTTTGCATTCTTATGGATTATTTTATACTAAATTAGCATTTGTTATAAATAAAAATCAACAATTTTTAACACCATTTGATACTGTCATTCCTAATAAAGGCAACATAAAGGAAGTACTTGATGTACTTTTCTATAATAAATGATGTAGGACAACACACTTAATGAGTATTAACCTACCTTCCCTAAATTCAGCTCATTTCTCTATCAGATACTGTTCTATACCATCCAGTAACTATTATCTCATGAAGCTGCCTAGATCAGGGGTCCCCAACCCATGGCCCACAGCCTCTACCAGGCCAAGCCTATTCTGAATTAGGCCATGCAAAGTGGCTGGCTGGAGTGCATGTATGCACGCAGCTCAACTTGCGTGAGCAGCAGGTCAGTAGGTATTCATGCGCATGTGCACTGGCCCACCACTTGTGCAAGTTGAGCTGCACGCATACGCACCAGACCACCACTCACATGGCTCAATTCCCCCCCCCCCCAGCCAGGCCATCAAGCTGCAAAGATTGGGGGCCACTGGCCTAGATTGTTACTGTGCTTAACAAGCTAATTGAACTAGAGTTAGCCACATCCCTCATCACTTTTCTTATTGTAACTGTTATGTATGTAATCCAACTCTTTGGAATGACAGGGAAGCCAATATTGAAGTCTACAATTCTTGCATTTATCTTTACCAGTGAGGACATAAGAGAAATATCCAAGCCTGAATTGGCTTTTTCAGAAAAAAAAATTGCACAAATAGAAACAGATGGAGGTAATGAAAGATGACAGCATTAGAAAAATTGGCAAAGTAAATATAATACGTATAGGCTAGATGTTGTTAATCAAAGACTTCTGAAAGGATTTTGATATGAAATTGCTCATCTTTTCACAAAAATACACAACTTTTCTTTAATAATGGCATCTATTCTTTAGGATTAAGAAACTAGTCAGTGTTACCCCAGTTTTTAAAAAGAGATTGAAGGATGGTAAAGGAAGCCATAGGTTAATTAAGTTCCGTATCTATTTTAGATACTAAAGTAATTGCAAGAATTATTAAAGAAAAAAGAAGCAAATACATTGAATTTCAACAAGCATGAATAAAAAGCTGTCCCGATAGATGATGCTTAAATAGACTTTCAAAAAGCGTTTGACAAAATCTCTCACCAAAAAAATCCGACCTAACTCATCTTTGGTGTTATAAGAGGGCAGGTAATTTTATAGACTAGCAACTGTCAGATTAGCAAGAAACAAGAGTAGGAATAAGAAAGCAAATGTGCAAAGAGATTGTGCTGGGACCACTGTTTTTTTTAACTTGTACATAAAAGATTGGCATTGGGGGTTGCTCAGGTAATTGTTCAGGAAAAATTCTTTGAATCACGGTAATTTGTTGAAAATGTCATCTCAGGGTATATCTGCTTTTTTTAAAAGCAAATTCTACACTTTGGAGTTATTATAAGGGGAATACTATTACTCCAACTGTTATGCTAATCTTTCAGGTTTGTTGTACAATTCAGCTTAAAAGTTGTTACTATTACTGTGGTTTGTTGCTCCATAAGCCAGATGTTCAGACTGGGTTTGGCATTTTTGTCCACCTATAGAGTCCTTTCCAAGGACCTAGGATAGGCAGATGAGGATGTTTGATGGTTTAAAATATTGCAGGATGTAAACTATTCTGAGCAAAGCTGCCTTTGGCAATTGACTGATGGTGATTTTGTCAATGCTGATGTTTAAATGGTGTTTCAGCTGTTTTAGGATTACAATCAAGTTGCCTATTACTATTGGTACTACCTTTTTCATAGTCGTTCTATTTCTAATTGCAGGTCTATCTATTTTGTTATCTTCTCCAGTTCTTTCTCTTTTCTTCTGCTGTTTCCACGTACTGCCACATCCACTGTCCAGATTTTTTTTGTCTTATTGACAATGGTTAAGTCTGGGGTATTATGTGGCAGGGGCCTGTCTGTTTGAATTCCAAAGTCCCAGAGCACTTTAGTTTCTTCATTTTCTATTCTCTGTTTTTTATGGTTCCACCAGTTCTTGCTTGAAGTAAAATAGTATTTTTTTTTTTGCAGATTTTCCAATGCACCATTCTTACTACTTTGTCACGCTGTCATTTGTATTCAATTTGTGCAACCTTGCTTGCAGCAGCTAACCAGGTGATCCACTGTTTCTTCAACTTCTTTGCAGAGGTGGCACTTGTTATCTGTTGCTTCTCAATTCTGGCTTGATGTTGTGCAGCCAGAATTAGCCACTCTGTCTCTTTCTTCAACTTTATTATGGTTCATTGCACAATTAACCAGATGTTTCAACTGGATTATTATGAATATGAAGCTGGCATTTGCAGGCATTCATGATAGTTGAAATGAAACATAGTGTAAAAGAAATTCTCCATTTTAAGTATGTTATTTCAACTGTTTAATTTATTAATAATATATTAATGTGAGTAGGAATCGGGTCTAATCATTTGTTTAAAATATTTTTTTAATTATCAGAAGAAATCTGAAGATGATTGTATTTCTGGTTTTGTTGCAGTTAAAACTCTCCATTCAGTACATTATAATACTTTGAATGTTCAGGTGATTGCATTAGAATGTTGAAATTAATTTTAGAATGCTGAAGAGCAATGAATAAGTATATATGCAATCGTAATTGTTCCTGATATAATGAGAAATCAGTCGATGACGGTTATAATCATTAGTTAGATAGGCAGCCTAAGGTAATAGGCCATGTATGTGAATTTATGTATGTATGTATGCATGTTTCTGTGTA